TCTGCCTTTGGCTCAGGTCATGATCCCAGAGTCCTGGGATCGAGCCCCGCATCGGGCTCCCTGCTCAGTGGGAAGCCTGCTTCTCCCTCTCCCACTCCCCGGGCTTGTGTTCCCTCTCTCTCTGTGTCTCTCTCTGTCGAATAAATAAAATCTTTAAAAAAAAAAAAAGTTGGGATTGTTCAAGTCTAATAGGAACAAAAAATATTTCAACGTCATCTAACTGAAATAGTTTAAAATCTTGCCAATTATTTTATTAAAAAGATATTTAAGAAAACTTTATAATCAAACATTCATAATTATAAAATATTTAAATTACTTTCCATTTATGACATGTGAAACTTTTACTCCTTAGACTAACTTTGCCTTCCTTATTGACAAAATTACATTTTAACCTTTTTCATTGTTGATAATGTAGCCCAAGAGTTGAAAACTTTAATAAAAATGATAAGTCAAATACCAGATGCATTCTGGATTATTGTATTTTTATTAGCCCTGGCAGTTTAGAGCTGATTTTGTGTTGTGCTCAGTAAGGCTAAGTTATGGGGTGACGACGTGTGCGTCTGGTGGCTGGACAGTTGTGTTCATATCTGGAGGGCGTGTTGAAGCTCAGGAATGCTCTGTCAGTGTTTGAGTTCTGCTCAGCTGGTGGTGAAGTGAAAGCCCCACCCTCTGTGTACTGCCTGAAGGGTGTCCCTTCTCATTTGGCACCCCCAAGCTGAGTGCTGGCCGGTGGGGAGACGGGGGGGATAGCAAGTCTACCTCAAGGGTAAAAGTATTTTCCTGTTCCTGAGGGCTTTGGACTCAAGTAGCCACAGCTTGTCTAGGCTCTAGGCTTCTTTTGGTATTTGGATGTTGCAGTCATATTGCATCAGAGATAGTGATTGTCAAGCTGAATGTATTACAAAATAATTGTGATGATATATGGGCTAAATACTGTACAGCAAGCCACCTAGGTGTGATTGTTTTAAGGAGATACATAAAGTGATGACAGTGAATTTGAGTGAAAGTTGGAAAAAAAGCCCACACAACCCACAGCAATGGAGTTTGTTTCTTAATTGTGATTTTCATTTTGTAGAAAGCTGTTGATAATGAAAGTCTCTAGAAAACAGTTCTTGGATAACCTTTTCTTGTGGCTGTCCCATAATTACATTTTCCTTAGGTGAAAAGATTTTTTTAAAATATGTATATTTACAGTTGCATCAGAGAAATGTTTCTGGGGTTGGAATGGGGACCTGATTGTGGGGATGATCATCCCAGTTTTATGCAATGGTGAGTTTCCAATAGACACAGACTAATAGTGGGTCTGCAAAGGATGGTGTGTGCACATGAGATGGTAGAAATCATGGAAAGGTAGGATGTATATACAAAGGCTAGAATATGCATTACTGTTAGTCGGTTTACTCATCAGAAAGAGCAAGCTTTATACATAATAAGTGAGAAGGTAAATACCGGATGAATAGGTGATGATATACAAATATCCTCGAATCATATTTTTTAAGATCAAATCATTTTTAAATGATTTTGTAAGGACGCTTTACTGTTCTTAGTTGATATGGATACATATTAACGTATTGCATGGACAGTAACCTACATGTGCAGTGTAAGCCTGCAAATAATCTCTTTCTGCAGCACACACTGATGAAGTATTGGTAGTTTATCCTGCATGGGACCTACTTGACAGGAATAAGATAAGTCACCATAGCATTATTGAAAATGTCTTAAATTGTATGTAATTCTCTATAGACTTCAAAACTATTCTATATATACTTCACTGCCTTACAAAATAAGGTCCATTGACTATAATCTATTCTTTGCTGGGTGAGTGCAGGGTCGTCCTTGTGAACATCATGGGGTCTGTTTTATTCACCATCTTTTGCCTACCACCTTGCCAAATGCCGGAGACATAAATTTTTGTTGAATGAATGAAAGAATTTTCTTCACCATGCTGTTTGTCAGTCGTCACTTCTTTCACTGTCACTTTTCCTTCCTATTAGATATTTCTCGTCTACTGGGAGCTTTGCAATCATAATTTATTACTGTTTTGGTGTCCATAAGAAATGCATATGATTTTGCCTTTACTTCTGAGTAACTTAGAGGATTCTTTTCCTTCTTGGCTCTCAGTGGTGGTCTGAGATGAGGAGGGTGCCAGAGACCTCCGAGTAATTGAAGCCTAGTATTTATATATTGTTTCTCCAAACAGGGTATATACCACCATACTAAGTAAGCACTTAGTAAATATTATTGAATGAACGTATAAAATAACTATTTGGTGTATTTACATAGGCATATGTAATCTGGTGAAACAGTGCTTATTATTTCACTTGTGTTTTTACTTTAAAGTATTTTTTCCTTGATTCATTGCAGAGTGGTCAAATGGAATTTTACTAATTATGTATAATTCCATGAGTATAGTTTTGTGCTGAATGCTCCAAATATCAAAGGTAATGTGGGGCATTGAGACACGCAAAAGATTTAAAATATACCATTTTCAATTAGGTCCCTCAAAGTTCTGGAACCCTGGCTCCTGCCCAGAGTGATGTCCTACCATATACAATGCTGTTGGCATCTCAACCACTGTGGAGCCACTTCAGGAGCATGGAATTGGTCAATTGGGAATTGGGTGGTAATAGGATGAGTACATTCTGTCTGTTTGTTGCATAGCACTGTTTTGTGTAGTTCTTTCGTTTATATTCTTTGTCTTTGGGGGATACACCCTGGCCAAACCGTGCCATGTGTTAGGGGAAGAAAACCTCTTTTGACAGCATATTCCTGCTCTGTGGTGGTTGTGATATCACCAGCATATGGCGTGCTGGCATCTCTGAAAAGGGGCCAGAGGTCTGAGTCTTAGGAGAAATGTTCAGATACAGACAAGAGCCAAACCTGGTCTTTGAGTAACATTTTGCACATCTACACATGTCATTTACACTCATCAGACCATTGTGCAATTTTCCTTTGGGGGGGAATCAAACTTGAAAATTTTCTTAATGCTTATTGTTTATCCCTAATGAGAATTAAGTGAAAATTATATATTAGTGGCATGGGGAGACACTGTCAACATTGGATATTTGAGTGAGAAAGTTATTCCTAGTGTAACCTCCATTGTGTTTTATTCTTTTCTAGACAAGTTGGCATCAGGAATGGAATGTTTTTTGGGCAAGCTAAACAACTTTGTCCCAACCTTCAAGCTGTTCCATATGATTTTCATGCATATAAGGAAGTTGCGCGAATAATGTATGAAACGCTGGCAAGGTACAGCCAACATGCGGGTCACTTCCATGTCTCTTGCTTTACTTCTTCTCTCTAACAGTGAGAGAGTCTGGTGTTCTGTAGGGGTGTCAGGGCCACTTTTGCTGGACACCTCTCTCTGTCAGGAACCCTTTCCTCAGCCAGTCCAGTAATCAGCTCAGTCTTAAGGGACATACTGACACTGCTCACTGTTCGCTGCTTCCTGACGTCAGTGGAAACTGAGTCTCTGTCTGTATAGCTTCAACTCCGTGGCTCTCGTTTTCTTCCTCTGGAACCAAACAGACGGAGAATTGGCATTTTTTAACCTGGTTATTCTTTTACTACGTTTGAATTATAGTTTTGTTTATAATTAGAACTGATGGGTCAACGAGTAGAGACTCGAAAACCATTTATCTTCTAAAATCATTAGGTATGCCAAAAGTTAGTTTTTATAAAAGTTAGTTTTTAGTAGTAGTTTCAGGGTGGTTGATTAGTTGGATTGAGAAAAGGAGATTAACTTTTATTTACAGTATGGGTATATTTAATATTCAAAGCTCAAAATTTAAAATAAGTCTATGGCAGGCTATGTATGCTTTAAAGTAGGAGTCAGCATATTTTTTCTATAAAGGGCTAGATAAGGTCTGTGTTCCAGCTATTCAATTCTGCTGTATAAAGTGAAAGCCACAGACAGATATATTAGTGAATGGGTGTGGTTGTGTTCCATTAAATATTTATTTACCAAAACAGGCATCTGGACAGTAGGCCAAGGTTTGTCGACATCTGGAGGGTATTAATGTTCTAAGAGATACATTTTGCACCTCTGTCTTCACCTCTTCCTCTCCCTTTTTATGCATTATTTTGAATATTTATTGAGGATCTATTAAGTACAAATAGCTGTTGATGCAGCTGGTCCTACGGAGAGAAACGAGATCCCATCTCTACTTGAGCAGGAAAGAGAAAATAAAAGGAACAGATGAAGTTATCTGGCATTAGTATGTAGGTCTGAGTGCTGAATGATAAGCCATTTATAATCACAGCTGTCCTTAAGATCCCACCTATGGGAATGTTGGTGTTACCAAGTGGAAAATATGCTTTTTAAATCCTGTTCCAGAGTTGGGGTCAATAGAAACATCCAAATGAGTGCTGGGAGTGGATGACTGAGCTGGGTAGTGGTACTATCGTGTTCTGCTTCCAAGTATCGAGGCATTCAGGCAGCTACCAGCCTGAATCTCACATCGGGAGGATTGGAGAGGGACCCATGACACATACTAGTCCTGAGATCCTTTTAGTCTGTGGAGACACTGTCGGTGGCATGTGGCTGTGCTTGGGGGGAAAAAAGCGCACAGTGTTCTCCTACCACCCTTTGGAAATCCTGCCTCGGCTTCATGTTCTCCATGCCTCGGGGGCACCTTTCACTGCGAAGTAGAATTCCTCCTGTCAGGTATACCCTTCTGCTCTTACAGATTTCACCCTTTATTTAAAGTGTAAGCAAAACACTCATTTCTTGAATGAATACAGATATTTATTCTTAAGTGAATACAGCCAATTATTCCGATCTGTAACCTGCAGTAAGATGTAGGTGAGATAAGGCATAGTAAACGTTACCATGTAGATTATTGAAGGTACGTTTTTGACCTTGAGGCCTTTCTGGTTGCCTTCCATTTGTGGTCTGCATATTTAATTAGTTTTAGAGCCACAGGACAGCTCTGCTCTTCCTTTTCCTCTTCTCTAGCTGATTAAAACAAGTCCTTTGTGTCGGTAGATCATGACCAAAACCCACAGTATTTCCACATTCAGGGAATGTAGTTGGCGTCCTTTCAGACAGGTATTTGGGGGTGACTGGCCTTTATATCCTGTATCCTAGGCCTACTACAGTAAAAGGTATTTAATCATGGTATTTTTGTTTAGGAGATAATCAGTTACTTATTTGACTGATTTATGTGACTTTTCTATCTGTTTAGGATTCTGGTAAACGGTGTTTGAACAGTTTTTAGATTAAATGTTATGACAGTTCTAATTTGCCCACTACTTTTCAGTTATTCAGAGCTTTACAAAGGTATCCTCAGCATAGAGAAACTGGAATGAGAATTTCTGCTGTATTTTTGGTAGTTAATATGGAAAATGAGAAAATACTAATTCATTAGTTCTGCAGTTAAAAGTTAGGTGACTAAAGAATGGCACTTGGGCCACTTTAATTAAAATGCTAATACTTTTTAGCATTTTAAGTGTTATAAGGAAATGTGAAGAGAGATGCCAGAGGAAGACTGGGCTTTGCCACATTTGTGTCTCCTCGAGGGCAAGCTCCCGGGTGATTCATTGCCTTTGCTTTGTGTCAACAGCTACACACATAACATCGAAGCTGTCAGTTGTGATGAAGCACTGGTAGATATCACTGAGATCCTTGCAGAGACCAGACTTACTCCTGATGAATTTGCAAATGCTGTCCGCATGGAAATCAAAGACCAGACGAAATGTGCGGCCTCTGTTGGAATTGGTTAGTATCCAGCCTATTTTGTACTCTTCGTTTTACTCAAAGCATTGCTTTGTGATCATTGAATATCATTTAATCTTTACGAGTGATTTTTTTAGATTTTGTTTTTTTACCGTACTGCATAGGCCTCTGACTTCTAAGACCCTTCTTAGCGTTGCTCACATTTGTGCAATACGTGAGATGGAAGTGTTAGAGAGGCAAGTAAATGGTTGATGATGATACTGTCTTTGGGATAAACAAGTTGGAATATTTCTAGTTTTCAAAAACGGGGAGAAGTGGATTCAGTATTTGTAAACATATTCTTTTTAAGTGAGCCAAAGCCACCTTCCAAGCAGGGTGGTTGGGGGGGATTTGGAGTTAAATGTTACTGTGAGTCTTGTAATTCAGTTACTTTGGGAACTTCAGCTTCCTGGAGTGCTCGACCAGTCCTGTCTTCACTCTCAATTCCAGAAGTCACCATTATCAACCAGTGGCCCTCAGTGATTGTGCTCTCTCCCCAGCCCTTGTCTGTTTTATCTTTAATCCTTGTGCTTAGTTTCCTTAGCCGCTCACATCATCTGTCCTTGTTTTGTTGGCTTTTGCAGCTGTGCCCTCTGGAGCCCTCTCTTGGATAGCTCCACTTCCCTGAGTCACCTCTTCCTTTCTGAACATACTATACACCATAGCTCTTGCCAGGATACCTCTTTATTTGTGTTCTCTCCGGTACTCTGTACGTCCCAGGCTTGCCAGGTAGATGTAACTTCCTCTTAGCTTGTCGTTGTCATTTCCAACCACTCCTCCTCCATTCTCATTAGAAATCCTCCTTCCTCTGAAGTTCCCTGTCTCATTTGTACCCTTGGGATTTTAATTTATGGAGAGAACTGAGTGATGACACAGAGCAGCCAATGCTGTGGAAAGGTTTTTATTCCTTACACCTGCCAAGAAGAGGAGAGGGCATGCTGTACCATGTAGGACCACATGGGGAAGCCCCCAGTTTTAGTCAGGAGGCAGAAGCAAGGAGTGAGGGGAAATCCTAGGCCAGAGCCTTTATTGGGGTTTCTGTGGGAAAAGCTGGACAGAGTGGAGTAAACAGCTTTGGATTTGCTCTTTTGGATAATCCTGTGGTGTTAGGGTTATAAGCGGGGAATTCTAGTTGCCTGGTACCCTGCCTGGATGACTTAGGGCAGGAAAATACTGTCGTCGTGTGTGAGCTTGATAAGGAGATGTTTGGGGGTGGCTGGCTTGCATGTGAGAGGTGCGCTCCTAAGGGAGGTAGTTGTTTGCTGTCCTTAGAAACTGGCTAGCCTTGGGAGGACCATCTCCCCGCAGCCAGCAAGAGTTTTAAGATATCAAAACATCATAAGATACAGAAAATAAAAAACATTATTAATACATTCATAGCATTCCTCCAGTTCCTAGCTAGCCTACCTTTCAACTCCCCTGTGTTTGGCCTGCAGATCCTTCTCAGCGTCCTTTTAGGGCTTATTTTCTGTATTCCAGTATCTGGCATGGGTTTAGTTGTTTAAATCATGCTTCTTTTTAATTCAGAGGTGTGACAATATGAGTACATTCTTTTAAGTTCAGTCACGCAATTAAAATGAAAATCCCACATGATATTTCCACTCCTCAGCCCCTTTTGCCTCTCCACAACTCACCCTTTTATCATTGTGGTGTGACTTTGCAGAACTTTTTCTCTTCATGAATATCTGCACATTTACCCTAGGAAAGCACATAGCTGTTACATAAGTCTTCCGTAAAACCGTGCCGTGTCCTTTCTGTGTCTTCCCTAAGTTTCGACATCCTCCTCTCACAGAGCCCTGATGAGGTCTCTCTCCCCTGTAGCCTTTTCCGCTGTCTGCTTGACTTCTCCACGTCCACACCCCACCTGGGACCTTGCTGTCACCGTCAGTTTGTGAGACTCTTCTACCCTCCGTTCCCACTGCACATGTTCTGATTGTATAGTGAGACTTTGGGTTCTTCGGGCTCCCTTTTACCCCCTGTCCAGTAGCATGTCTTTGGCTTTATTTCCCTGCTCAGTCTGGACGCACTGGTTGGCAGGATGATGGAATTTCTGACCGTTGCCTCCGATGCCTGCATCTCTGAACATAAGGTTAGGGGCTGCTTTCTCCCTTCCTTTACCCCAGGGTAGGGGATGTTGAAATGACACCCGGTTTGGGAACAAAGGGAAACCTCTCTCCAGTATCAATGCAGGTTATAATATGTCCTATTTAACAAAATTCTGCCTGTTTTGTACTGTATTTGAAATGATCAGAATTGCAAATTATTTTCATTGTTTTTGAAAGAAATTTGGTAGGTAACCTGTCTGTAGATGTCTTTGTTAAGAAATTTAAAAATAATTGTGGTGAATATTTTTTTGAAAACCGTTTTTTTTTTTTTTTTAACTTTATAGGTTCTAATATTCTCCTTGCTAGAATGGCAACTAGAAAAGCAAAACCAGATGGCCAGTATCACTTAAAACCAGAAGAAGTTGATGATTTTATCAGAGGTCAGCTAGTTAGTAATCTGCCAGGTAAATACAGATCTTTGCTTTTTAACTTTGGTTTATTGTAAACATCTATTAATGCTTTTCACAGTTTTACAACGTTACTCTCTTTTCCGAAACATGAATTAAATATTTTTATCCATGATTGAGTGCCATGAGAAACGGAATTTGGAATTCCTCAATGATTAATCCCCTCAGTTGACTAATCAGGACCTGAATGTTACCTTTTACTTCTGTTTCTCACATATTTTACTTTAAATATTTCTCAAGTGGCAAGATCAGGGAATTCCTAGAAATCATTTTAAAGAAAATATGATGAAATTGACTTTTGGTCCTTTAAATAAATCATAATTGAAATTGTCCATTTCTAGGCCAAATATAAAGTTCTGAGAATCGATTCCTCTGTTTACAAAATTACACTGATGGACTCATGACAGGTTTCTGAGTTTAGTAAGCAAATAGCCTTAAAAGTAGAAGATGTATGAATCCTATTAGGAAGAATAAAACCTAAAGACAAAGTATTATGTTTTGTTAACTCAGAGGTAGAAGTAAAATGTCCATCTCCACCTTTCTCCGCTAAGGGCCAGGATCTTTAGTTATTTTATATTGTTGTGTAGTTACTGTGTGGCTAACCTAGCTTGTAAAAATCTTTCCATAGAGAAATCATCAAATATAATTAATTATAACTGAAAAACAGTTGCCCTTTTGGGACCTTGAGGAGATGTAATTTTTTTGTGTAGGACAATTCATTTCACAATTAATAATTACAGGACAGTTCCTTTCACAGTTATTAAATATTTAGATTTGCTTGCTATGGTAGATACCTCTTTCTAAGAAGTGTCTCTAACCCATGCAGTAATCCTTGATACTGTTTCAGATAATCCTCCTGTTTGTTAAAAAACACACTGTTTCACAAAGCTCCTGTGTATTTGTGGTGGGGAAATTCAAGACCGTACATTTTCAGTGAAAGTTTTTTTTTAATTCATTTGCTTGTGAAAAGTGGATTTAGTGATCATTTTTAGATGCATATTCTTAAACCTAAAATAGTATATCTGAAACTTAGAAATTTCTGTTACAGGCTATCAAATATTAAATGACCAAAATGCCATTTTATGGTAGGTTAGTTGTAAAGCTTCCTGACCCCCTAATAAATAACTTAAAAGAATGTATTAGTGTTAGTTAGAAATGTGAAATAGGACATTTTGATGGTCAGTTTGAGATTAAATTGGAGGAATAATTAACCTTCTAAAATCAAGCTTAGCAAATTACTTTATTAGACAGTACAATTTAAAGTTTTAAAGTTTTAATAACACATCTTATTGCAGGCTTCTATAAGAAGGAACTGGTACAGTGTATTTAAAGCTGCACGTGAACTACGCATCCAAACTTCCTATACTAGCCATCTCTATTAGCTTGCTCAGGCTGCCTTCAATTTCCTAAGCGATATCCAAAATATAGTGGGAGGGCAGCAAGATTGGCTCCCTCTGGCAAGCCACCCTCCCATGTGGCCTCCTCTCTTCTTCAAAACCAGGTTGTATCCACCCAAAATTCTTCATGTGATTTCCATATGTCTGTTGACTTTTATCAAATTACCAAATTCTTAATCAGATAGATTGAGAACCTTTCACAAAGGCACGCAGAATGTCACCTTCTGCTGTTGTTAGGCCTGTATGGAAGATGGCATTGTAATCAATCTACAGAACGTAGGCTGTTCTTCTAAAAAAAGATTTCACATGCATTTGGGACCCATCCCTGGTAGAGGGCCCGCTTAGTAAAAGTTGAGAATTGTTACAATAAAGAAACCTATTTATCTTTGTTAAAAAATAGTAATTTCCCACAGATATTTGAAGATCAATATATAGTGCCTATTAACATCTTGTGGGACATGCTTTGGGGAAGTTTGCTCTCTAACCAAGAAGCCAGAAGAAACTCAGGATAAATACACCTCACCTGTTGTCCTCTACAAGCTCTCTTTGGCCCCCTTTGCCCATAAGTGTGTACTTGGCACACAGTGTGTCCAGCACAGTATACACAATTATCGGAGCTACACGAGCAGGAGAAAACACATTACTAAGTAAGTTTATGTTTTAGGGGATTCTACAGAATAATGATTATATGTTATGCTAACAAATAAATTACCTAATGGGATCTGTTTATTTAATGATAGAAAGGATCATCCCCACCGACTATTTAAATACAATAACCTGTTTCTATGAATTCTTTTGGATCTCTGCCAGGCCGTTCACCTCGTGCATGTGCCCCTACCCTGAGCACCTGGTACAGCCCGCACTGGGTTTGGGCCCCCGGCCATTCTTAGAGAAACACCACCACTGTGTTAGGTGGACATAAAGATCTGCACTGTTCCCATATGGGAACCAGTAGCTAAGTGAAGCCAGTAAAATTTCAAGTTAAATTAATTACAGTCAAATAAAATTAAAATTCAGTTCCTCATTTACACTAGCCACATTCTGGTGCTCAGCAGCATCATGTGGCAAGTGCCCACTGGATTGGACAGCACAGATAGAGAACGTTTTCATCCTCACAGAAAGTTCTACTGGACGGTGCTAATTTAGATGGTGAAAACCTTATTCTTTAAAACTTTACTCTTCCATCTCTCTGCTGTACTGTCAAGTCTGGATGCCAGGGGAGGAGACATTACTGGCTGTTTTTGAGAGTAATAGTTCCCTTCAAGGACAGAAAGCAAGTCTTTGTCCCAGTGGCTTGACCAGGAGCTTCCACATCCTTTTTTTTTTTCTTCTCTCCTTCTCGGAGTCTTGGTTCTAAGCTAGCATGTTTTCCTTTACTTTTTCCTTCCTAGGTGGCTGCACTCAATTTGAGTGTCCTTAGAGGTGCCTCCTTTCCTTACAAACGCTTTCATGAGGCAGGCAATTAAACAACCCTGTCAGGCTTTTGGTGCTGATTCATTTTTCCTCCCCACTCAGTATAGTAGGGGTTAGAGGTGGGCCACCGCCCCACATGCCTCCCTCCCCCACTTGAGTTCAGGCCCGTTGCATTTCATCAGATGAGCTTGCAGTGGACAGGACCTTTCCTTCCTCCCCACAGGGACAGTTTACTTAGATTAGGTTGATTGTGGTTAATTTGGTGATATTTGATATGATAGCCTTTCTTTGGCACGTACTAGCAACTAATAATTCTGTTCCACTGTATTAAAGATATTCTCAAAAACAATACGTTTTTCTCCTGCCCCACGCCAGCACACATAGAAATAATCCCGGATTAGTGCCTCTCGCTGATTTGTAAGTCAGTGAGAATGTATCAGTTCTCCAGATCTCTAAGGGAAAGATCATGATCATAGTTTGAGAGTGCGGAGTGGGGCAACAGAGATGAAAAGCCTTTCCTGAACGATGAACAGTGTGTAGAGTGTTTGACTTTGGCCAGCCTCTTGTATGATTTGCTTCTTACCTTGGGTTTCTCCTCTCCATCTTGAAAAATACTCAGATGGGTTTCACTTAGAATTTCACCTTTTTGTAAATGGTATTCCTCTGGCAGATTTTGGTGATGTTAAAGCAGACTCTGGTATTCTTTCTTGTTCCCGCAGACTCTTGTATTCTTTCTTGTTCTCTCTTCTTACTTGAACTTTAAAATGGCACAGATGGGAGGCAGTGCCCTTAACACCTTTTGTCTCGTCCACGAGGGAATGACTTTTTCTTGGTTTGAACTTGTCTTGCCCACCTCCATGGCCATAGATCTTTTGTAAGGTTGACAGCCTCCTAACCCTGTGTCCTACGTAATTGCTTTAAGAGCTGCTCCTGGCAGAACCTGGACTAGACCAGCTGTCCTTCTATTGAAGACCACTCAGAGAATAGCCGCTAGAAGGATAATGGTCGTTGGGACACCTGAGTGGCTCAGTCGTTTGGGCCTTCAGCTCAGGTCATGATCTCAGGGTCCTGGGATCGAGTCCCGCATCGGGCTCCCTGCTCCAAGGAGAGTTGTGGAGAGTCTGCTTCTCCCTGTCCCTCTGCCTGTAGCTCCCCCTGCTTGTGCGCATGTGCGTGCACACGCTCGCGCGCTCTCTCTCACAAATGAATAAAATCTTTAAAAAAAAAAAAAAAAGAATAATGATCAAGTGATGAGCACAACATAGCCGACTTCACTCAGCTCTCCCACAAGATCCTACAGAAGACCAGAAACAGTGTTTTCCTTATTGGTGGAAATTACTGATTTGATAGTGTGCAAACCATTCTGATAAGAGTTTTAGTTTCCCTACGTTACTCTTAAATATATCTCCTAGATATGTGTACCTTTGTTAAGATTTTGGGCAAATTGAGAGTGACAGAACTCATCAGCATCCTCCAGGCTCAAACCTGGCATCTGGAAGAGAAGGACACAGGGACTGTGCTGCATGCTGGCCCAGCTGTAGGAGGGTTGAGACCTTTTCAGGGAGATAATCTTTGTTGGTAAAAGAAATCTGTCTTGCCCTCACTGCCACTTTGTTTGCTTAGGAACCTTCATCCCCAGGTCACTTCGTCCAGTATGACAGCACTAAAGTTTTTGGGTTTGGACGTGTGTCGTAAGTTCTTGTTCTAGTTCCCATTCATAGAAAGTGAGGCTGAAACCCTTGTGAAGTTTGGCCATCACCGAAATCACAGTAGAATCCCTAACACTCTTGAGTCTCCTCACATGTAGGTCATAACTGTAGGCCCGTGTAAACAAGTCTATCACTTCATTTGTTGATTTTTGTGAATAAGATGGAAATCTTGATATTACTCAGTAATGAATAAAGATGGCATTCTTCTGAGAACTTACGTAGTTACACATATTTGAGAAGGTTCACCTATATCCCAAATTAAGCTCAAATTGAGGAGTAGATTCTAGAAATAACTTTACTAGCATTTGCACTAAACAGTTCTTTAGTCTATGAGATGCTACAGTTATGTCACTTAAAAATTTTAAGGGAGATTATTTTAAACTAGTTGTTTTGTGGGTGGATGATAGTTATTTCACATTGCTAAACTGTTTTTAATGGTTTATGTGCAGAATTAAAGAATTACACGTATCCCCTTTTCTCTAGGAGTTGGACGTTCGATGGAATCCAAGTTGACCTCTTTGGGAATTAAAACTTGTGGAGACTTGCAATATATGACAATGGCAAAACTCCAAAAAGAATTTGGTCCCAAAACAGGTCAGATGCTTTATAGGTTCTGCCGTGGTTTGGATGATAGACCAGTTCGAACTGAAAAGGAAAGAAAATCTATTTCAGCTGAGATCAACTATGGAATAAGGTTTACCCAGGTACTGATCTCTTAACGAGTTTTATCCATTTATTTACTGTTCTTTATCTTTCCATCTAGTCCCATCTCTCCAGCTAGCCCATAGACTCTTGTTGCTTGAAGTGAAGACTTTACACTCTTGTTCCTGCAGCTTGTAGGATATAAAGAGTATACATGTTTGATTTTGGAAGTGAAAATACTTGAGAATTGTTCGGTGTATAGGAAAGTAACGTGGGATTTTTGTTTGTTTTTCCATAGCCAAAAGAAGCGGAAGCTTTTCTTCTGAATCTTTCAGAAGAAATTCAGCGACGACTTGAGGCTGCCGGCGTGAAGGGTAAACGCCTGACGCTCAAAGTCATGGTGCGAAAGCCTGGGGCCCCAGTCGAAACTGCGAAATTCGGAGGCCATGGGATTTGTGATAACATCGCCAGGTAAGCTTATGTGTAAAAGGAGTTTGGCTAATTGATTATTTCAGTGCAGGTTGTTAGAATTAATAGGAAAAAGAAGAAAACCAAGGAAGAGTCTGAATAAAGATCTGTACACTCTGACGTTATCAGATATTCAGCCAAGGCTGTTGCCGGCGTGTCACTGCCCTCGGGTTCGGCTAGTCACAGGAACCTGTGTGCCTGACCTTCGGAGGGAGTCTTCAGGCTATGGACTTCCGTGCACGGACAGAAAGAAAGGGTGGCGACAGTTGTGGGTGGCGACAGGGTCCGGGGGGGAGAGGTCAGCGTGGTGATTCAGAAAGTGATTTTAATGAGACCTTGGCTTTATTTGGGGAGGTACGGTTTTCGTTCCTGAAATGATTAATTTTGTAGTCTCTGCAAACTGGTAGGAAGCATTTAAACCTCCCCCCCCTTTTTTTTTTTTAAAGATTTTATTTATTTGAGAGAGAGAATGAGAGAGAGAGAGAGAGCACATGAGAGGGGGAAGGTCAGAGGGAGAAGCAGACCCCCCGCCGAGCAGGGAGCCCGATGCGGGACTCGATCCCGGGACTCCAGGATCATGACCTGAGCCGAAGGCAGTCGCTTAACCGACTGAGCCACCCAGGCGCCCTAAAGATTTTATTTATTTATTTGACAGAGAGAGACACAGCGAGAGAGGGAACACAAACGGGGAATGGGAGAGGGAGAAGCAGACCCCCTGCCGAGCAGGGAGCCCGATGCGGGACTCGATCCCGGGACTCCAGGATCATGACCTGAGCCGAAGGCAGTCGCTTAACCAACTGAGCCACCCAGGCGCCCTCCCCCCCCTTTTTTTTAATGTAAGGGCCACTACTCTGAAACTTCATGTAAAGTTTGTGACCAAAAGAAAAAACTTTTGTGTACCGTTTTATATGCCAACAGTACACTGCAATCAATCAAAGCTTTGAGACTTCTGACCCTGAAAGCCACACATAAGGAATTGTATGTAAAAAAGAAAAAGTTTTGTGAAGGGTGAGCTCATGCCAACCACCCCAGTTCCGTTTGTGTGTACGGTGATGTCAGGAGTTGCGAGAGGACCGCGCTCAGTTGCACACAGCTGCGGCTTGTCACTCACACCTTTGTTCACCGTGAAAACAAGGATTACAAATTATACGTGGAACAGCAGATTAATAAAATATATTTCTGTGCAGTTGGTAATCTTTAACTGTTACATTTACCTATTTTAATAAACATTTTGATGTATCCATCTTTCAAATGGTAGCTAGGTAAATACACTGTTAGTGATCATTTCTATAATAAGTTCATTGTTAGGCCCTAACTCTGGAAGAGAATGATCTTTTTACACGTGGTTTCTATGGGAAAATCAGATTACCTTTTCTGGAACTTGATTTTTTTAAGATACCTGGGAAGGATCATCCAAAAACAAAATCATTTTTCTTTGGGAAGAGAACTGGCAGTTTCCTCTTTTCGTGTCTGTGTTTTTAAAGATCTTATAGTTACTTAGCATTGTCTGTTTTGGTGGGGTTCACTTCCTCTAATCTGAATAAGAAAATCAGCCTTCTTTCAGTCCTTTGTGAAGAGAATCCAGGTACTCCAAAAATGTAATTTTAACATTAAGAAAACTGGGATTAATTATACTTTATCCCCCCCGGCTCCTAGTTGAAGGATAATAGCCTTTCTGTAAGCACGTTATCTGCTTGCTGTTGTTGGTATTTGTTCCGTTTTTGTCCTGAACTTAAAAAGTTTTATTAGGAAAATTTAAAACATTTAAAAGTAGAAAGAACAGTAGAGTGAACCCCCGTGAACCCATTACCAGACTCGCTCCTCCGATGCCATCCTTCCTCCCCTTCTTCCCAGTGATTTTGAAGCAAATCTCCGATACTGTCTCTTTTCTTCCACAAATATTTCAGTGTTCATCTCTAACAAGGTGAGGGCTCGGTTGAGTAACCACAGGACAGTTCACAGTCTGCTGTGCGTAGCCAGTGGTCAAGTGTACATTTTGCTGTGTCCTTAAAATACTTTGGAGAAAATGATAATGTAAAAGAGCACGTGATTAATCAAAACAGGTGTAATTTTATAAATGTTACCAACATACAGACCAGTTGCAAACCATTAACTTAAACCTAACGTTGCGGTGGTGTTCTGACTGCATGAGGAATGCTTTAGGTGAGGGATTATGAAATACTCTAGCACTGACCATATATTTCCTCTATCTCCCGGGTTGACACACTGTTTCCTGTGGGCCATATGCAGCCTGGGGCCTGTTTTTATGTGGTTTGTGTGAGCCAAGAATGATATTTATATAAACGTTTGTGAAAAGCGAAGACTGTGAGAGGACCATAAAGCACAGGTGATTTCTGGCCCTTTCCAGAAAAAGTCTGTGGGCCGCTACTGTAATCCCAGCTGCAGTCCTGTTGGGCTGAGTCAGGAAGTGGTACTCCGCATTCCATGATTCTCTTACCTCTTGTCATTGGCCTTGATCAAAAGCTGTGTGGCAATCATGTGTCTCCCAGACTCTGATATGTTACAATACTGTAAGAGAAAGGGCACATTTAAATTGCGTATCAAAGAGCCATGTGTAAGTTGAAATCTGTGGCTTGATTATCACACAGGAAAAGTTTTAACAGTTTTCTTTTGGGGAAAGAATTTCCCCCCTTGGCGTTCTTTTGTATATATGTGTTTTTAATTTGAATTTTATACACACACACACACACAGAGTCCTTTGCACTACTTCTCTTCCATTGCCTATTCTTGTTTCCCCTATGTGTGCATTTCCTTTGCCCCCCTCAGTGTTCCACAAGGGTGAGCGTGTGCACGCTGCACATGGTTCGTCCTAGAGTCTGCTGTGACCACATTTCCTTTTTTGTGGAACTTGTTTGTCCTGGAGTTACTGAGCATCTCGTTTTGTTTGTTGGCTTTTTTGTGAATTTGCCACTGAGTTTTATCCCCACATTCCCTCCTAGTGTGTTTCAGTACACCAGTTAATCACCTGGTTTGATCTTTTTTCTTGGAGCGCTCTCTCGGGTCCCTCCCTTGTGCCCACGCAGTCGGGGATTAGACGTACTGTAGAGTGGGAGTCAAGGGGTGTCCCTTCTCTATGATCTGTGTAGGATCCTTGTTTTCCTGGATCCCAGGTCTCCTTCTCCTAGTATCTATCTAGTGAGAAAGAATACTTGGGTGTAAGTTGTTTTGAACCTGTCTATCCTCATGCTCAGTAGCTTTGCTGACTTAAAAGTTATAGTTAGAAATCATTTTTCCTCATTTAAAGACTCCATTGTCCTCTTTTTCCCGGATTTTTTTTTTTTTTTTTTAAGATTTTATTTATTTACTTGACAGAGCCAGAGAGCATAAGCGGGGGGAGCAGCAGAGGGAGAGGGAGAAGCTCCCACTGAGCAGGGAGCCCGAGGCGGGGCTCGATCCCAGGACCCCGAGTTCATGACGGGAGCCAAAATCAGACGCTTACCCGACTGAGCCACCCAGGTGTCCCAGGGGTTCTTTTTATTTGGTCTTGTTTTTGTGCCAGGTACTTCATCAATATTAATTTTCTATTTCTACCAACATTTTAAACTTCTGAGTATTTTTTTTTTTTTAAAGATTTTATTTATTTATTGGAGAGAGAATGAGAGACAGAGAGCACGAGAGGGAAGAGGGCAGAGGGCAGAGGGAGAAGCAGACCCCCCGCTGAGCAGGGAGCCCGATGCGGGACTCGATCCCGGGACTCCAGGATCATGACCTGAGCCGAAGGCAGTCGCTTAACCAACTGAGCCACCCAGGCGCCCTAAACTTCTGAGTATTTTTCTTAATTCTTTGGACATTTAAATATAAATACCTGTTATTTCATGGATGCCATATTCTCTCTTCTCTCTTAAATATTCTTGGGCGCCTGGGTGGCTCAGTTGGTTAAGCGACTGCCTTCGGCTCAGGTCATGATCCTGGAGTCCCTGGATCGAGTCCCACATCGGGCTCCCTGCTCGGCAGGGAGTCTGCTTCTCCCTCTGACCCTCCCCCTCTCATGTGCTCTCTCTCATTCTCTCTCTCAAATAAATAAATAAAATCTTTAAAAAAAAAAAAATTCTTCTGTTCCCTCTGTCACTTGTTTCTCCCGATTCCTTCTTTCTCTTTTGATTACTTTTACAATAGAGGTTTTCTTTCACCATCTGATAGTTCATGACTGTCTGTTCATATATGAACTTCTAAAATTTTATTTGGAACCCCTGGATTCGTAGTGGGACATGCGGACCAGTGGGCTTCACCACAGACAAGTGATTGAGGGGCTTGTGTTTGGTTACCACAAGCAGTTCTGTCTGTGGTCTTTGCTGTCAGGCTTGTCAGTTGCCCCACGAGAGATCTTCCCATCTCCTGCCTGCAATCAGGGAGCAGATGGAGGATGGCAGCTAGCATTCTGGTTACTCACTCAATAGGAGGAGCGGTCTGGGTGGGAAGAGTGTAGTTTCTTTTGAGCGAGGTGCCTCTCTTCCCTTGGCCGTGAATGATGTCCCCTAGCTTTCAGCATCGACAGCCTGGGTATAGTGCCGCTCCCAGAGGAGGGGCTGACTCTCTGTCAGCCGCACGTGCACGTTCTCACCCCCTCCATTGGCACCCGGCGCCTCCAGTCATGGAGCGTGTCTGAGGTCCTGTAGCATAAATTGACTTATCTCCCGCTGGTGCCTTGCTTTAGGCATAGCAGGCATGTTTGGTAACTTATATTTACTGATGTGCTCTCAGTCTTCTAAATTACGGTTAACATTTTTCCTCTACTCTTGCCTCCTCCTGTTTCTATTTTTTTAAGAGTCTGTGCTATTTAAAAATCATTTCAAGACAGTTTAGTGGTATTCTGGAAAGATAGGAAGATAAACACATTTAAACCACCATGGTCCACTAAAAATCTCACTCTTAAGTTCTGTATTTATTTGTGTGAAATAAACTTAAGGCAACAAATCAATGGAAATATTTTCAAATAGTTTCCTTAAAAATACTGGTAATTTTCATGGATGTACATAATGTCCTCACGTACTGGGAAGGTAAATATAATAAAAATAGTTTTTAGCACCTAATAATGCTGGCAGTCTCCCGTCCTCCTTCAAGAATTCTTGAAGTTGTAAGAATTGTGTATTCTAGGCCCGCTGGGTCTAGGGTACCATCATATTTCCTTTGTCATAGCTGGACACACGTTTGTTGATTTCTAGAGCCTCTGAGAATTGTCATGCACATATTCACATGTTGAAATTATTCAGTGGCTTTACTTCAAACAATAAAAGTAGAGTCAAGAACTAAACTACAGGGGGATTCATCTGTCTCATACTTCAGCGTGGAATCTAAAATTTCTCTTGGAATCTCAAACATTGTATTTAAAATACGCTCACGCTTTAGTTGCAATATAGTATGCGTGTTATTTGTGTATATATATATGCGTTAACTAAAATACATCTTTCTAAAGAATTTTTTCCAGTTGGCCAGGTCTTCTTTAGCCTGTATCTCAAAGTCTCAGTATCCTGTATGGTTTTTCTTTTTACTCTTTGCTGTCATTGTAATTAATTTGTTATTACGGGCTTCCTTGAAGGAAGACTATCTCATTCATTTTCAAGGATTATATTTAGTACTTAATTATTTAAACTTCTTTGTAACTTTCTTGACAACTTTCCTATACCTCTTTAAACCGTTCAATACTTGTGAGGTACTAGTGAATATATAGGGGATGTAGCTTTTGTTCCTTTAAAAAAGTTAATTCTATCACTTACAGGACTGTAACTCTTGACCAGGCAACAGACAGTGCAAAGATAATTGGAAAAGCTACACTAAACATGTTTCATACAATGAAACTAAATATATCGGATATGAGAGGGGTAAGTATATAACATTTTAAAATTCTGACTTTCTGCAATGTTTTTCTCATTTAAGGCTTGATCTAAGAATGGTCATGGGGCGGGTAGTGGGTTTATGTGCATATTTTCAGCTCCTTTGAGATAATAACAGGAGAATAGAAACTGAAAAATTCTTGACTTTCTCATCTGACCCGATCTTATTTTTCAGCAGAGAGTCACATTTGTTCTGAAAGCTCTTTATTTTCTGCCTAGAATAATTTTGTATGTTAAATTTTTATAGTATCTTTTAGTTAACCAAGGGCTTATTTTACCTACATTATCTTGCTTCCTATTCTCACTCCCCTAGAAGTTGATGGGGCTGTGAGGAGTATAGAACTGCAAATAATTCTTGTACCTTTAAGGTCCTTTTTAACCAAATTCATTCTGATGTCTGTTGATGCTCTTAGAAGGGAGCAGATACCATAGCACCGAAACATGCCTTTGGAACATGTAGGTGAGAGGGTATCAAAAATGTAAAAACCTTAATTTTCTTGAGGATGAACCTTTGTAGGGTTCCACTGTGTGTACACATATGTGAGTGAAAGGCATTTTTTGGCTTGGCGTGGCATTTTTGGAAGGATTAAACAGTTATTAAGCCAGACACGATGTAAACTCCTCCTTGAAATACTGTTACAGTAAGGCTTTACAGTGTTGTGGGGTGTAGTTATCTAGACACCGGGGTGCAGTGTACCTGGGGCACTGCCCATCCCACCCCGCCCACACCCATTTATTTGAGAAGTACTTCATTTTAAACAAAAATGATAAATGAGTAAGGCTGCAAGTAGACTGACCCCTATGGAATTTTTTTTTTTTTATGTTAAAAACTTGGTTGGTTAGAACTTTAGTGGAATATAAAAGTATTACACTTTTTTGGATTTTTCTGATTTTTGAAGACATTGCAGTATATTTGGATAGAATTGGATACTCCCAAGATTGAGGTGAATAGCTGCTCGCTAGCTAGTTAGTAGTTTTTGTAATAAATCATATAGAAGACTGAATACTTTCATTTAATCTTTTATTCTAGAAATAGGACCTAGAAGATATTTTTAAAAAGGAATAGCTGAGAAGTTTGCATAGTTGAATTGATATTCTTGCTTCAGTTTTCCTGGAAACACATTTTCCACTTCTGGTTCTAGGTTGGGATTCAGGTCAATCAGTTGGTTCCGACCAATCCAAACCCTTCCACATGCCCCGGTCGCCCATCAGTTCAGTCAAGCCACTTTCCTGGTGGGTCACACTCTGTCCTGGATCTCTTCCAAGTTCAGAAAGCTAAGAAATCCACAGAAGAGGAGCACAAGGAAGGTCAGTGGTCATCAGTGTGGTTCTTGTTTTGGTGCTGCTTTTACCTTTAGGAAGGCTAATAAGTTAATGTAACAATTGTCTGGCGTGGCTCTACTTTTTAAGAAACACACTGACATTCTGGATTATGAGGAATCAATAGCGTAAATTTGTTTTACTTAAAATGGATTAAAGGAATCCATATTACCCCATCCCTAATGATATGAAGAAGCTATTTTATGTATTTTCTATACTTTCAGTATTTCTGGCTGCTATGGATCTGGAAATATCCTCTGCCTCTAGAAACTGCACTTTCTTGCCATCTTTTTCTACGCATCTGACATCAAGTGTCAATCCTGCTACTAGCAAAGCTGAGTCTTCAGGGAAATGGAATGGTCTACATTCTCCCATCAGCTTAAAATCAAGACTTAACCTGAGTATAGAGGTTCCGTCACCCTCCCAGGTATTTTTTTTTTTAATAGTTCTAAGTATGATGTAAGTGCAAAAGCAGTTTCAAAGTAGGGATGACGTTTTTAGTTGTCCGCATAGCCAAGAAGGGGAGAGGGCTACTTGGGGTAGATCAAGGGCGGACCCACGGTGTTACTGAATTCCAAATGAGAAAGACCACGTTAGGAGAAAGGTGGTGCTTTTGCAAAGATCTGCCACTCTTGCAAGTTGTAGAACGTGGATAGAAGCCAGTTCTGCAGACTGCCATCAGTAGCCACTTTACCTCTTTGTGGCAGCGGTTATCATACGGATTTAACTCTATTCAGCAAAACAGCTTTGGTGATCATTAGTAGGGGCCTACGTCCAAGGTTTTTCTTGCAGCATTTGCAAACAGTTCTTTCTGGAGAGCTACATGTTTTTCCTAACGTAAGCTAGTAATTCCGTTGGTGTGCACGGTAAATGTGTAATACTGTTGGCATTTTTGCTCCTTGTAAGGTTAAGCTATATCGGGGAAGTCCGTTTCTCTGCTCCACTACGTGGTAGGAGGCTGAAGGACACATACATGCTGGCCTTAAGGCTCGGAAAGGGACGGTTGTGATACACTTGCATTGGGTCCCAGATGCTAGTGAGCTATCCAGAAACCGTTGTTCCTGGCAAAGTATCACATTGGCCTGCCCAGCTTACGGGATTCCGTGTTTCTAAGTGGAAGTGCACAGATGCACAGAGGAATCTGCTATGTAGGCTAGAGCAAAGTTAGTTTCTAGAATCCCTTTTTTCTAACTTGGTGTTGTCAGAACCAGAATTATTTGTATTTGGGGGCAGGTGGTCAACTGTGTGAAAGGTAAACAGGACTCTCTTACCCGATGCCAGAAATTTGACATATCCCATAGGCACTGGCCCCGGCCCCTGGGTGGGATCTGAGATCCATCTCTTGGCTGCAGTCGCAGGAGATAGAGCGAGTATGTTTGGACTCGCCTGACCCAGCGGCGCTGCCAGGGCACTTGTCTCTCCAGACTCCTGGTAGTCTTACTACTCGGGCTTCAGTGGCAAAAGGCCAAAAACCTTCTAAAACTGTGCTGTTTTGGAGGGTTAGCTTTCCTAGCCTGCTTCTCTGCACCTTTTGTTTATTGTTCAGGTTGAAGTGAAAGTGGTAACATTAACTCTACTAAGCTCCTCTCTGAGCATGCTTTAACTTCAGACTCATGTGGTATTTTATAGCTCGATCAGTCTGTTTTAGAAGCACTTCCACCTGATCTCCGGGAACAAGTAGAGCAGGTTTGTGCTGGTCAGCAAGGAGAGCTGCATGGCGACAGAAAGAAAGAGCCAGTAAATGGCTGTAATACAGGAATTTTGCCACAACCAGTTGGGACGGTTTTGTTACAAATACCAGAACCTCAAGAATCTAACAGTGACACAGGAATTAATGTTATAGCCCTTCCAGCATTTTCACAGGTAAGAGACCTTCTACCCTGAACATGCTCATCCGTCCTACTCTAGCTCAGGGCATATCTCATTTCCTCTTTTCCTTTGGACCCTAAACTCTCAGTAGCTCACGCCGTATCTGGGGTGGGGGTGGGGGTGGGGGGCCGATGGGGAGGGATTGGCTCATGTCTGCATCATCTAAAGGACACAGACTGGCAGAGAAGAGGGAGGATATGGTATGTGGGTGCTTGAAGTCTCCACCCAGAAGTAAAACAGAAACTCATTCTGTTTCTATTTTCTTGGCTAGGGATGACCATTGGGCCACACTTCAAATAACTGGGTGGAGATGCAGAATCATGGATTAGAGACCGTAACAGCCTAAGCTTGGTGTTTCAAAAAAACATTGGAAATGAGCCTCATTTCTTGTGTTTTGCCTCTCATTTTCTAGGAGTGCTGCTTGCCCTGATGGTTTTGCAGTGGTTTTGTTTAAGTCAGTTCTTAACCCCAAATTTTCTTATTCTCACCCTAAAACGTTGTGAGGATACAGTGAGCTTTAATATTGAGGACCTATTAAGAATTCATACAGATCAGAAAAGCATGATTTGAAAACAAAATCTGTTTTGTGAAAAACAGCATCAACTCAGGTTTGACTTTGACCCTTCTCGTTTGCACTAGGTGGACCCTGAGGTGTTTGCTGCCCTTCCTGCCGAGCTTCAGAAGGAGCTGAAGGCAGCATATGATCAGAGGCAAAGGCAGGGAGAGAACTGCGCTCACCAGCAGTCGGCCGCTGTGTCAGGTAAGTAGCCAGGGAAGGGACCTGTACCACCACTGAAGACGAGAGAAAGGGGATCGCTGTAGGGCGTGACCCCGGAGTACGTAACGGCCAGCGTCTGAGCTGCTAGTCATGCTAAGAGCTCTTTGTCTTGGAGCCGAACAAGTATACGATGCGGGGAAGTGTTGTCACAGTCCTAGCTGGACTTGTATCTGTAGCTTCTTGACTTGAAAACACCTTCACTTCAGAAAAAGTTTGAATTATTGCCAGAATCTTTTGAGTACTTAAGATGGATACATCAAAGAGTGTAGGTTTAAAACAAATCTGAAGGTCTCCGAACATGCATTACAATACTGCCTGAACTGTTGTACCTCAGCTGTTTAATTTCCAGTTGGTCCTTATGGGCCCCCCTGTATAGAACAGATCTTGGTAAGTGAGCACAGGGGGCGGGCACCCTGGAGCCTGCAGCCAAGTACTGCCTTCCCCACGCACGGTCTGGCTCGGGGGCCTGTGTCGGGACGTGTGTGCGCACGCGTTGGGGTTGTCTTTGAGGAGGAAAGAGAACTCGTGGTACTGTCCAGACAAGACTTTGCTGAAGATGTCATGTTCATATTCTTCTAGTGCCAAAGAATCTGTTACGTCAGCTAAAACCAGCAGCAGTGAAAGAAAAGAAACGGAACAAGAAAAAAAATCCCACCAGTCCCCCGAAAAAGATTCAGAGTCCTGTGAAAAACAAGTTGCTTCACAGTCCTGTGAAAACTCTGCCCGGGGCCTGCGGGAGTCCCCAGAAGTTAATCGATGGGTTTCTAAAACATGAAGGTCCTGCTTCTGAGAAAGCTCTGGTAATATTTTGCATACTTTTTAAACTTTGACCTTTCTTTGATCAGATCTTAACATACTCGCTGTTATGTCAACATAGCACTTTTTATTGTTTGTTTTCTTTAACAGGGAGACCTCTCTGCTTCCACTTCAGGTGTGCCAGGCCTTTCCGGGTCGCAGCCTGGGCCGGCTGGCTGCACAAGACCCCCGGCACCCAACCTAGCAGGAGCTGTTGAATTCAGTGATGTGAAGACCTTGCTCAAAGAATGGATAACTACCATTTCAGGTTGGCTTGGCCGGCGAGACAGCCGCGGACTGAGTGCAATGGTTCTAGGATTTTAGAACAGGAACAGACTCCTCCGTAGAGATGGAACTCATTTCTCTAAATCTGGTAGGCTAAACCCAGCCACCCTCTAACCTTTGAAACTCTGGGGCTGACTCTGAAAAGCTCCACACTATAGACCCCGTGTTTGGTGGCTGTAAGTCAGTGGGATAGTTAGAGAAACACGCGTCTCCTCTATACCTGCAGCTAGCGGTCTGCCTTCTTCAGAAGGAAGTTGGTCCTTACTGGAGGTTTTCCCCCTCTCTAGATCCAATGGAAGAAGACATCCTGCAAGTTGTGAAATACTGTACTGATCTAATAGAGGAAAAAGATTTGGAAAAACTGGACCTAGTTATAAAATACATGAAAAGGTAATTATTTGATACCTGTGTCAGAAGGATAAAATGGGGCATCTCTCACGGCTACTCGCGGTGCGGCACGGAGCAGCTTCTACTCGCTGCGCAAGCCGTTAACGGTGGACTTAGGGAAGGGGGGGGTGCTTCATTTCGAATCCCTAAACCATGATCAAAAGATTGTTCCCCTCGAGATGTATATAGTTTAAAACCCTAACACACACGTTCAACTGATTGTTTCGGGAGGAGTCGGTCTTACCTGCTCTTTTTTCTTAACCCACCTTTTAGGTTGATGCAGCAGTCGGTGGAATCGGTTTGGAACATGGCATTTGACTTTATTCTTGACAATGTTCAGGTGGTTTTACAACAAACTTACGGAAGCACATTAAAAGTTACATAAACCCCACCAGGGAGCCTGGTGCTCTCTGCTAGCTGTGCCATAAGTGCTTGTGAGGTATTGGCAAAGTGCATGATAGTAATGCTTGGAGTTTTTATAATTTTCAATTTCTTTTTAAGCAAGTGTTTTGTACATTTCTTTTCAATAAGTGCCAAATTTGTCAGTATTGCATGTAAATAATTGTGTTCTTTTACTGTAGTATAGATTCTATTTACAAAATGTTTGTTTATAAAGTTTTATGGATTTTTACAGTGAAGTGTTTACAGTTGTTTAATAAAGAACTGTATGTATATTTTGTACAGGCTCCTTTTTGTGAATCCTTTAGGAAGCAAATCCTGCACTGTTTATTATATTTAAAGGCTGAGGAATCCTACAAGCCGGACTGTTACAGGCTCCATGCTAAACTTTGAAATTCCTGAGAGGTCCCAGACTGGGATTCTGCTTGTTCCGGGTAAAGCTTCTAAATAATCTTATCAATCACTCTTGTCCCCAAGCATGAACACAGCAGCATGTTAAGAAAGTCTTCTTTACTTGTTTTAAATTAGAACACACACACAATTTTTTTCCTGGGAAAATTACGTCCCACAGCTGGCTTAGCGTTATTGTCTCTGCCTCTACTGTCCCTTGAGAAACTTCAGTAGTAATGAAGAATGGTACAGATTCTCAAATGTATATGAAGTGTTTTCTAGGCTAGGCTATACCATAATACTTGAAAAAATATGTATTTGTAATCCTATGCCAGTGAATACTTGGGGACATTTTCTTCAACCACTTCACATTGCCTTCAACACTGTGCTATAAATATGAATAGGTAGTCTGATACTAGAGATCTGTTACCAGAATTCATCCCACACAGTAACAGATTTCTTACAGTGGGGAAAAGATAGATATTGTCATGTGGACTTCCCACCTTCTTCGGGAAAACTAGCTAAAATCCACGTCTCTGCAACAACTTCAGAGCACCAAGCCCAAACAGTCTTATCAGCTCCCTACTAATTGCCCCAGCAGGAAACATATGCATGATAGGACTTTGCTGGGACAAACTCTAGACCAAGATCAATGTACAGAAATTCTAATGCTAACGTGTGCTGGCACATGAGGTATTACACCAAAGCTGATGACTCATGGAGAGAAGCTATGCTAGCAGGGAAGCCTAGCAGAGCTCACTGATGGATGTCTCTCTTCTTTATTGGTAGTTCAGAATTGTGCTGGTTACAGTGGACTCTCAGGACTATACAAGCAGTAAATAGCAGCCAGCTATGCTTTACACCATGGTTTCACACAAAGCCGAGATCAGAGTGCCTAATTTTCTATTTTAAAAAATTCCTAAGGGCACATGGCAGAAGAATGCTGGGGGGGAAAAAAAAAATCACTGTGGGAAGGGATATGCATAAATAAAGAAGTATTTCTTACATCAAAAAAGTCCCAAGAATCACAAAATCTGCAGAAACTTGGTTAATCAAATACTGCAGTACTGATTTAATCAGTATAAAATCGAAAGAGCTTTAGATCTGTAATAAAAATCCAAATTTGGGTTAGGGCAAACTTTAAAACAGCAGCCAGTAGAGAAGGG